CTTCCTTCAGAAACTTTCTGGCCAGCGGAAAAGGGTTGCGTCTCGTTGGTTGGACTCGCGCGCGCCATTCGTCTCGTGGCCGAAGATCGCTATCCGCTAACCGCCGATAGCATTTACGAGCGATGAAAAGCGAACGAGGGAGAGATGACGGTGGCTCGATGACGGCGCGCGCGGTATTGTTTTTGCTCTCGCCAGGAACTTGCGCGGCCGACAATGGCCGGCGCGTTATAATGTCTCCCTCGACGATCCCGAGCGCTACTACAAACTCTGCAGTCCGGGAAATAGACTGTCTCCCTTTTGTTTAGGAAAGGAATTATTCGCCGAGTAGTCGTACGCGAGCCGCGCGTAGTTTCCTCTTTTCTTCGGTCTCGTCACAATTCAATCTTAAAGGCAGCTCTTCTGCCAGTTCTGCCGCGACGGCCGCGACGTGTACAGTGAGTCGATTTTCCTGACAACTTCTAGACTGATGGTAGATTTGCGTCTGTCTTTCATTTCGCGTTTCGTCTCATTATTTTAACTATTTCCAGCGACTAATGCTTGTGCATTTTCTTTTCTGTACTTACTTTTAATTGCACAAGAGAAGAATATTAAGCATAATATGCAATATAAAATATTATTAATTAGTCAATCAATCGGAATCAGCATTTCGATTGTTTCTGAACGTAAGTTTAAGTTCTGTTCCTCTAAAAATATCTCTTACGGCCGTGATTTAACCTTATTGGAAAAGAATAATTCCAAAATGTATCTAAATCTGATTACTTATCGTGAACTCGCGTGCCGAGGTAACCTTCGCGATATTCTTGAGCTATTAAAGCATCATTTAAGCCGTCGGCATGTGTGTACACGGATGAGAGAGGTCTCACTCCAATTCTCATCGAGGTGGATATTCAACGTCGTTAATCGTTAATATTATTTCCTTGCAATCTCAACGATCCGACTTGACGCGAACGTACGAGAGAATGGAAATATCGATCCCCGCTGTCTCTAACGCTATTACGTGAACGGGGCGCGCCGCATCCGTATTATATCGTGTGCGAACAATTAACAAGAGCATACCTAATTTTATTATTAAAATCTATTGATAATAGATGGTTCGCAGCGCTTAATAACATGATGCGATAAACGGATAAAAATAGTGGAAAAATGTGAGTGAAAAAAGACATTCTCGCATAAATCGATGGTATCAGCGCTAAATAGATATAAGGCGGCGATTACGCAAATAACGAAAATAACAATTTAAAATTGAAAATCCAACTCGTATATCCAAGGGCCTTCTTGATCTTCGCTGACCGAGAAGAGTCATGAACTCCGTGAAAACTCGCTTCGATATTTGAGCAAACATTTTTCTCCCCGACTGTCGAAGATTCCAGGTCAGTGAGCCAAGTTGCCTCGAAAATTCGCCCATCCTCAACACACAAGAAGGACTCGTGGACACGATGGATGGAATGATTAAATTTTCCCAAAAGTCACTTTGTCCAGGCCGACTGATCGAGTTGGACAGGTAATAAACGACGTGACGCAAAAAATATAAGTTAAGGTCAGCGGTTGAAAGAACGAAAGGAAAGAACTGTATATTATACATTCCACACGAAGGAAAAATACAACACGAAACTTATTTTGTCCTGACCGAAAATATGAAAATCTAGGTCATTGAGCAGTGGGATAGAATTCGAGATCCATTGACCTATACGGATAACATTACGATTTTTCTTTATTTTTAGAAAGTAAATTAGTATTGAACTCTCTTAACATTCGAATTGTCACATGTAATCTCGGCGATAGCTGCTTACAGAATAAGCACAACGTAAAACGAGAACATCAATATCGCATCAATATCACAAAAAGGATGCAACAATATAATTTGGTTAGACGTTAAGAATATGAAATTATTATAATAGAACAATTATTATTATTACATGGGAAATATGCACAGATTAGGATGTATGTTAATCTAGCGAGACAGAAAAATGTATTTTTTAAAATTCTCTTTATTTGTTGTTAGATGTGAGAAAATAAATCCAATTTACTTTGTAGGAAGATATCAAAGGCAAAAAAGACAGTTTTTAAAAGATCTCATCTTATGTAGGAGTTCCGTATTACATGTATACATATATTCTATGTATTTTTATAAATTTTGACTAATTAACGTATTCACGCATAACATTTCCCCGGAAATATGGCACGAACGAAGTTCTCTTCGTTTCGATCGACAGACAAGTCAAGAATTATTAAATTATTTGCAATTTGTATTTGACACTAAATGTAACAGGAACTTTTGCATACTATTTACAGGCAAGAAATTTCTTTAGTAAAGATTTGCCATCGAGATCAATGAAACGAACGTGAAAATAAATTTTACAACGTACACACACACACACACACACACACACACACACACATATATATATATATATATAACTAGCTGGTTACCCGGGCTTCGCCCCGGAGGACATGTGTAATAAGACACGTAAATAGTCTCTCTCTCTCCCTCCCTCTTTCTCAATCCCTCTCTCTCTCTCTCTTTCTCCCTCTCTCTCTCTCTCTCTCTCTCTTTCTAAAATGCTATAAATTGAAAAATATTACTTTTTTATCTACTGAAGTTCAATTCCGCCGCATACAGTTCTTTGAGATTCACTCAATTATTTTCTAAAAAATTGGAAAAATTTTGTAACCGATTTACAAAAAGATACCGGTTCCCAAAAAGATCAGTAACGAAAAACTATA